AGGCGGTTTTGCACTATAATGATCTCTATCATTATCCATATTATCACCAATTAGAGTAGCATTGTTACCATTGTTTGCCATTGTTTTTCACACACTCTGGATCGGTACTAAACACTATTAGGTGCTTGATTAAAAATTCAAACTTTTTATCAACTCCTCAGAACCAGAGCTCTGATGCCAATTGAAGGTGTGAAAAATATAAGAAAGAGGGGGGGGGGGGGGTTGAATTAGGTTTTGAATAAAAAAATCTTCTTTTAAAATCCCTTTCTATTAGAAAAAAAAGAAACTTTACTTAGTGATAATAACAATAATATGCAAGAAGTAAAGAACAACAATGTGTATACTAGTTCACTTGAAAAATATCAAGCTAGTCTAGTCCACCCGCCAAGGTGATTTTACCTCTCTCTAACGAAGACTTAATCTAATAATCAAACTGATTATTACACTTGTACACACCAACTGTATGTGACTAACTATACAATCTTTAAGACACATAAGTCTTAAACTTCTCAAGAATACTGACCTAACTGGTCTCTCAAGGAACAATCTGTAATACACACAAGTCTTAAAGTTCTTAAGAATACTGACCTAACTGGAATATCAAGGAAATCAAATATCTAAGACACACTAGTCCTATACTTCTCAAGAATACTGACCTAACTGGTCTCTTAAGGAAATCAAACAACTGTTTGAATACAAGTTTTATTTACAAGAATATTGTTTCTACACAAGCTGAATATATAAACTATTTTTATGAATAGTGACTTAAGAAAATAGTAGATATAAACAATAAGCCTTTTTGTGTGAATGAATAGTGAATTAGCAGCTTTTTCTCTTAGTCTTCAAACCCTTTTATATCCAATAAAATATTATAACCGTTGGAGGGTATTTCTAGAATTTCCAGAAAGTTGACAGCTTGAATTACATGGGGAACAAGATCGTACACAACGTCCGTCCTTCATGGTAGTGGAATGAAATAATTTTTTTGTACCATGTACTATTGTACCATGTTAATATTATCTTCTTTCCTTCTGTACTTCAGAGGCTTCTGCGAGCATGAGCTTAGAAGATAAAACATAACACAAGGTCATCAAAACTTCAAGTCTTCAGAGTCTTCAGAACTGCGTCTTCAGAGTCTTCAACACTTGGTCATGAGAACCTTTTTTAGAACCTCGAGTCTTCAAAACATCAAATCTTCAGAGTCTTTATAACTTTTGTCTTCAGAATCTTCAGCACTTGGTCTTTAGAACCCTTTTCTTAGAACCATGAGTCTTTAGAAACTCGAGTCTTTATCATTTGGACTTAAGTAGAACTTCTATCTTTAGATCTTCTGACTGGTTTCTTTAGAACACGTTATCTTCAGAAACATGAGTCTTTAGCATCTGGACTTAAGTAGAACTTTTGTCTTCATATCTTATGACTGGTTTCTTTAGACTTCATGTCAAAGCCTACACTTCAGAGTCTTCTGGAGTGTCTTTCTACTGTTCATCAGAACTTGTGTAGCACAGAAGCAGAACTTATTCTCTTCTAATGCCTTGGCCACACCATTCATCAAAAGTAGAACCTGTTTGTTAGATACTCAAAAATAACAAACATTAGAGTACTAAAATTGTTCATACAAACATACTAATTTGTTATCATCAAAACTCAAAGATAATTATGCGAAACCAAATCTTGTTCTAACAAAAAATTTATTCTTATAGTGCTAGAAGGTACATAACCAACCCACGCTGAAGCCCGACTGAAAGAAAATATGAGGAGATCAACATGACAAAGAGGTGCGTCTACAAGACTCCAAAATTGTGAGCTAATCCAAGATAAAAAGATCAATAACAATGGTGATTTTGTGATATGAAGGAGGAACTGGATTTGATTGAGTCTTACAAGTCCAAGAAGAGACTTCTCATACACCAAATAAGGTATGCACTTGAGATTTTGAAAAGTGAAACGGAGTATTGTAATGCTGCCATTACTCCAGCTGAACCAAGATTGCATTTGTTAAAGAATGAGGATGAGCAAGATGATAATCCAACTCAGTATTGGAGGCTAATTGGATCCTTGGTTACTTTAGTGACACATAACTAGATTTGGCGTTAAGTGTCAGTATTTGAGTATATTCATGTAGATACTCATTGTATCTCACTTGGCAGCAATCAAGAGGATTCTAATATATGTTAAAGGATCTATTGTATGTGGAATTATTTTTCCCGCATTGGACAAGGGAAAAAAATACAATTTACTCGGATTTACAAATTCCAGTTGGTGCAAAGATAAAGATGATAAAAGTCTACATCTGGATACATCTTTATGTTCATTAAAACACCAATTTCATGGTGTTTGAAGAAGGACCGATAGTAGCGCTCTCTTATTATGAGGCCAAGTACATTGCAGCTTTGTTATGTGTGTGTCAAGCCGTGTGGTTGATGAATATGTTGAAGGAGCTAGGTAGCAAAGAGGGTGGCACAGTAATGGTTATGGTTGATAATGTTTCCACTATAAACCTTGCTAAAAACCCTATTGTATATGGGAGGAGCAAGCATATTGATATGAAGTTTCACAACTTGAGAAAGATTGAGGTTGAGGTATTGTAGAAGTGAATACTAAACGACCAATTTACTGACTAAATGAGTCGTAATTGAAGTGTTTAAGAAATTGAAGAAGCTGATGGGCATAGAAGATTTTGAGCACATGAATTAAGTTGGTGTGTTAAGGTAAAAGCTAATTCACATGCATGTAACCGATTAGCATAATAGTGCAATTGGTTACACTCCTTTAATTTGTCAAATATAAACTTACAGTAACAAAGTACAATCAATTGACATAATATACAAATCGATTACATCTGAAACATTTTAGTTAAAAACTAATTCAGAAGGTGAATGTAACAGGTTGCCATAATAGTGCAACCGTTTACACGAGAATTTTTAGTTTTATTTGTTTGATAAATGTATCTCATATTATAAAATTGTATGAATACTTTTGGGGTATGTAATGAATACTAGATTGCATTTTTTATCCTTAATTTACTCTCTTTAATTCTCTCTCTCACCCTCACTCTCTATACACTCTATTACTCAAATATTCAACAACCTTATTCCAAATTTTACCACATAGTTGATTAACTAATGTTAGAAATAAAACTCCAACAACATTCAAAAGAGCTAGATTTGTGTCAATCGCAATCAGATTGAGAATTAAACTTTCTATAAAAACAATTCATTCACTTTCTAACATACATAATAAAATATTTTCCAATACTTTGATTTCAAGTATGAAAATTCCATTAAATACGTGAAATTTGTGGAGGTGGCACTCACAACTTCAAACAATGGTAGTCTGTAATTGTTGGTTTTGTATGTGTTGTAAAGTACCAATATAACATGAAACATATTCAACAAGTTTATATAATCTAGATGCATCCATAATAAGTCGCCAATGACATACGATTCTTCATACATTTGAATCTAGGACACATGTTTATTGTCTTTTATCGTCTTCTTCAAGTGTTACATTTTAGTCATACGACTTATCAAAGATAATATGTGTTTTTGTAAATATGATTTGTATCAGTTCAATGAGCCTTCTTTCAATCTTACTACAAATTCATTATGTCTTTGGGTGCAATGTTATACTTTATCAACTCATGATCGTGTATTGTATCTTTGTTTAAATGACCCATAAATGATTTGGTCAATCAATGCATGTGCTAACTCATGGTTTTAAAGTCCGCGCATCGCTTTAAATGACCATTGTATATCATCTTTTTAGAGGTTTTTCGTGTCTTTCAAATCTCCTTTATATCCTTACATTTATTTCTTTTCCCTTTTTTTTATTCATATCAAAATTTAGAATAAACATCGTCGTTTATTTTGAAGGCCCATCTCTCTCGTTCATATCAATAAAGTTTTTTCTAATATAAAAACATCTCTCTTATCGTTTTCATTAACAAAGTGCTGGAAAATATTCTCTCTCACACAAAAATTCGAATAGACCAATCAAAAAATTCGACAGGACATTCAAAAATCCAATATGTAATTTTTATCGACAATTTTAAAAATTTAATGTGTGATAATTTTTATCAATTTTTTTTAAAATATCCTGAAATGAAACGAAAAAATAAAACAAAAAAAATAAACTTTAGGAATTTTTAAAAATGTGACATTTTTAAAATTTCCGATATGTATCTATGCTTTTTATCATAAATTTCAAAAATGTCGGTAAAATCATATTTAGAATATTTGATATTTCAAAAATATAAATAAAAATTCATGCAAAAAATTATTTTTTATCTGACATTTTAAAAATGTCGGTAGAAAACCTAGGTTTAGTCAAAAATCGGATATAAATTCAAAATTGTTGGTATAAATCCATGAATTTAATAAACAAATGTTATTTGTAAATTATCTAAAAATGAAATAAAAGTCTAAGATTTTCCAAAATCTTCAAAAATTGACAATTAGAATAGTAAAAGTTGTGCCAAGATATTATGGTAAAATGCAATAAATAGGAGGTGCGAGGTAAAAAGATGAGTGGCAAGACAAATTCATTAGAAGTTTTGCTTTAGATTCACTATGATACTTGAGCCTAGTATGAAGGCCCAAGAAAATAAAAACGATGGGTCCAAGTCAAATTCTTTTTTTTGTTGGTATTTTTTACTAAGCACACCTCCTAATCCTTATTATCCTTTTATGCTATTAGGAAGAAAAAAAGATAGGAAAAGAAGTTTGTACATCTGGCGGGAACGGTCGAGCAGCGCATTTGGCGTTGCCAACCCGCATCTTGGTTTGCAGACAGAAAAAACACACAGCAACAACAAGAAACAAAAACAACAAGAGAAAGAAGAAGAAGCAGAAGAGAGAATTAGAAAGAGAGAAAAGTTTTTCTATCTCTCTAATCTCTTTCCTCCTCTTCCTCTTTCTCCCCCATAACAATGGCTTTCTTTTACAAGCAATGAAGCTTCACCATTATCATTATTCTAATTATTATTGCATCCATTCGCAATGCGTTGGTTGCCAACCCTAATTTTCTCTCCTTCTTCCTCTTCGTCGTCATCGTCATCGTCATCGTCTTCCATTACATATCCTTCCACGTTAAAACATTCTCCTTCTTCTTCCTCTTCCGATGTTTCCGTTTCCGATACTCGGAAACCCTCTCGCGGCACGTGGTTTTTCGGTAACGGTAGAAAATCCACGCGGTCCAGGAAGCTCCGACACGTTGATGATGTTCACATTGAATACGACGTATCAGCGCCTATTTCTCGTTCGAGCTCGCGGAGCTATATTCGGTCTAATACTTCTTCATCCGTTGCGCCTCAGCCATTGCCATTGCCGGAATTAGCTTCTCCGGCAGGGTTGCAAAGGAATAAAGATGGTGATCGGCGTTTGCCGTCGCCTAAAGAAGCCTCTGGTAGAGCCATTGAATCTGATGCGCATGCCGTCGTTTCTCTTCCCACTGGATTTAAGATGCGGAGGTAATTCAATTTTTCTATGGTTTCAATTCACTCTTATTTGAGCTTTTGGGGATTCTGTTAGGTTAAGTTAATTAGATAAGTTACTACTTTTAAAATTGTTTACGGATAAATGCCATCAAATTCATATTATGCACTATGTGCATTGATAAGAACAGTCCTTTTGATTAATTGGAACTTAATTTGTTTGTACAGTGTTTTTGCTAGCCGAGAGACGAGAGGAAATACGGAGCATATGGAGACGAAGCCACCTGGGAATATGATGGCGCGTCAAGATACAAGTGGTGCTGCGACTCCAAGTTTTCGAGAAAATAGCTTCCGGATAAGTGTTCCTCCAAGGAGTGCTTCGAGCAGTCCCTTTACCAGTCCCACAACAAACAACACCAAACATGATGATTTTGTGCCGTATTATTATGTGTCACCTAAAGCAAATCAGTTCTGGTCTGCACCAGAAATGCCAACATCTACAGGACAACCACCTCCTGCTTTCTTTGATTTGTCTGCATTAGGTATTGATTATGCCTCTTCTCCCCATCAAAGTTCTGGAGGAAAAAGTCCCAAACAACAAAACCCTTCTTCACCCCTACCAAGGTTATCCCTCGACTACCCAACAACTTCACGTCGTGAGAGTCTTGGTCCTCCTCTCAGTGTTCATCCTTTACCCTTGCCTCCTTGGTCTGGGAGTTCCTTACCCTCACCCTCTGCTAACTATTCCCAACCTGGGGGAGCTAAGACAGAATCTATATCTATGAAAAGTCAATGGCAAAAGGGTAAACTTATCGGGCGAGGTACTTTTGGAAGTGTTTATGTTGCCACTAATAGGTATGTGTGCAATAGCTAAGTAACCTGTTTTAGTTCTTCCCCTTTCTCTTTCTCATTGGCAGCTCTTAAAACATATTTTCATTCCTTTACAGAGAAACTGGAGCATTGTGTGCAATGAAGGAAGCAGAAATATTTTCTGATGATCCAAAATCTGCAGAGAGTACAAAGCAGTTAGAACAGGTTTTCCTCCATTGCTTGGTTGTAAATGCTGTTTTTTTATTACCTGTATAGGATGTATTAAGTGTATAAGTTGAAATGCACTGTCTGTTTTTTTTCTGTTCTACCTGTTGGGATGGCACAATGCACAATATCTCATTGGCAGTCATAAAAACAGTAAATTTCGATGCAAACCATAGCTTAAATGCAGACTGCACTGCTTGTTGCTTTTAATTCTTATCAATTGAATATATAATTACTGGGAGGAGATGGTGTGTGATTCAGTTATCTCATCAATTTGATATCTAAAATGTTTTTTGCCACCAATTTATATTTTCTTGCTGATTCACTTATCCTCATTATTATTTTGTAATCTCCTTTTCAGGAAATTAAAGTTCTTAGCCATCTGAAACATCCAAACATTGTGCAGTATTACGGTAGTGAAATAGTAAGCACTCTAATTGATGATTAGGTGTTCTGTGTCCATGATAAATATTTTTCTTATAGAATTGCAACACAACCTAATAATAAGTTCTAATATTTTGTGTTTGTGTTCTCAGGTAGAAGACAAGTTTTATATTTATTTGGAGTTTATCCATCCTGGTTCAATAAATAAATATGTTCGTGACCACTGTGGTGCGATAACAGAATCTGTTGTTCGGAATTTCACACGACATATTCTTTCGGGGCTGGCTTACTTGCACAGCAAAAAGACAATTCATAGGTAAGGGTCACATGCTTGATAAGCTGCTCAAAATCCAACTAGGACAAGAAATCTCTTCGTGATATTTGTGCAAATATTTTTTTAATGAAGTGTGCATTTTCTTTTCTTCATGAAATTACTAAATGATTTTGGATTTGGACCATCTAATGACATTTGTTTTTCTTTCCATATATTGATATAGGGATATCAAAGGGGCTAACTTGCTTGTTGATTCTTCTGGTGTTGTTAAGCTTGCTGATTTTGGGATGTCCAAGCATGTGAGTTATAAAATCCCCTCTACTATATACTTTTTCCGGTCTTTTTCCCCATCAATGAAGATAATGGTTTGCACGTTGTACATATACTTGAATTTTTAACCATTATCATCATACAAGAAGGATTTTTCTAATTCAAGGATTATGGGCACATTTGTACTTACTTTTGTGAGAGACAAAAGTGTTTCTAGCCACATAAATTGATTTTGACATGTTTGAGTGTTCTTCATAAGTAAATTTGATTTGAAGCTGAGGTTTGAAGTTTTTGTTTTGAAACGTTCTTTTTAATATTAATTTTATTGTTTAGTTCACTTTTATGTGAATATATGTTAATATAAATAACTTTACATTAAATTTCCTGGAACTGAAATCAACTAAGTTAATAATAATTTTAGTCACACACGACCAAACACACTCTTAACTAAAAGGATATTGTTTTTAAAAATTTGTTCTCTTGGTTTAATTGTACTGCCCATTGAAGTTGATTCAGCTGCAATTATCTAAGGAAACCGGAATTCGTTACGTCAATAAATCTGCCACTAAATTAATTTGTGAAGGAAAATGATTGCATTAGTGACGGAAAACTACCCTTTCTTTCATTACTTGAATATGTATCTTGATATGTTTATATGCTTGCTTAGATGTGTGACCTGTTGAGAAGAAGTGCTCTCTAAATTCTATATGTTCTTTAGTTTGAATTATTTATGACATAGAGTTATTCTTTCATTTGAATTTTAGCAGCTTTCACCACCTGTTTTCTGCTAGTAGTTACTTTTTGCCCATTATAATAGTCTTGGGATCTCTATTTCCACAGCTAACTGGGCATTCTGCTGACCTGTCTTTGAAAGGAAGTCCATACTGGATGGCTCCAGAGGTATATTTTATATATTGCAACTCTACATTACTCTTTGATGTATTACGCTTTCTTTACTCACACTCGCTTCCCTTACAGCTTATGCAAGCGGTCATGCATAAAGACAACAACTCTGATCTAGCTTTTGCAATTGATATTTGGAGTTTGGGTTGTACAATTATTGAAATGTTCACGGGGAAGCCTCCTTGGAGTGAATACGAAGGAGTAAGCAACTGCAAAAAATTTATAATTCATCAATTTGTTATTCAATGCAATACCAAACATATCATAAATGGAATTCTCAATAGTGTAATGTCTTCCAATATTTGTTAAAATATACTTGTTAACAATGAGAGCTTATATTTAGAAATGGTTTTATATTGATCTTCTGTGAGAATGTTCAATTGTTGATATCTCTATTTTTTGATAAATATCCATTTAACAACCAACTTAAGAGCATCTTTATTCAACTTTTTTCCCCTTCCTTTTACCGTTTCTAGCTTGTGGATTTAACATATATATGATGCATGTTTGCATGTCCTTCATCTGCTAACTAGCCGTGAATTTTGATCTAATTATGCAGGCTGCAGCTATGTTTAAGGTAATGAAGGATACCCCTCCTATACCTGAAACATTGTCATCAGAAGGTAAAGATTTCTTGAGGCTTTGCTTTAAAAGAAATCCCGCAGAGCGGCCAACTGCTTCAATGTTATTAGAGCATCGTTTTCTGAAAAACTTACAACATTCAGATCCTTCATCTTCCGCCCATCTGTATAATGGAACAACCACAATGGTAATAATATAAGATTTGTGTCTCTTTTCTCTTTGCCAAACCATGAATTTGGTATTAACTTCTCTTATACTGGCAGGATAATTCCCATAGTCCCAGAGGGTTATATGAAAGCAAACCTGATCAGTTTTCTATTGTCAGTGCACAGATCGCAAAAGGGAAATTTTGCACTGAGAGGTGAGGATTTCACATTTGTTACGTGAATATCTTGATTACCTTCCTACATTACATGTTTGAATCTGTGACATCCTGTCCTGTGTACATCTTGTACTCTATATTCTTGCATGATTTTTTGGCTTAATTTTTATGAATTATCCTTATTGGTATGTAACAAAGCAACTTCTTCATTACAGTGGCATAGCAATGTCCCATTCTCTCTACTCTTGAAACACTTTCTAGCTCACCCTCTATGTCTATACTCGGCTTGCAACACACTCGATCAGATTTGTGATTATTGTCATTGTAGCTGTGCCAAACATGGCAATAGGAAACGAAAGAGGTTGTTTTTAAATGAATGCGTTAAGGGAAATTCTCACCTATGATGCAAATACCTTGAGTTCACGCTTACATTGTTTTAGGTGACTTCCAGCCATTGCTGTTGTAGGTGCTTCATGAGATTTTCCTCGATTCCTCTGAAAGTAACCCGGATATTCAATATGGAGTTTATACTGCAAGTGAATGTAGAAGCAGATTTTGTATAATATTAGTGTTCCAGCAGTGACACAAGTTCTGTGAAAAGAATAACAACATCAAAAGTTTTTTTTTCTTTTATTTTTTCGTTAATTTGTAATAAAAAAAAAAGAGAGAAAAACTTGAGAGAAAGGCAAATTTATAGGTCAATCTTTGGTAGGGTGAAATCAAAATTAAGCATGTAAATATGAAATGCTCTTATTTTCTTGAAACCAAAATTTTTTACACCATCTCCCACGAGCTGCACTATAGGAGAGATACTCTAAATTACGTTATAGTTTTTTGACGGGTACGTTATAATTTGTATAGTTATACTTCTAAAACATCTAATTACACGTAAATTTTCATTAATATATAATTATAATATCAAAATAGTCCTTGGTCGCATATTAATTTTCCAAAGCATATATTTCATCTCCGGGTCTTAGTCTTAACCTTCGTCTCACAAACATTGATGGAGGTAAACAAATTTGATGCAAGGTTAATGTACAAATATTCCATTCTATGAACTTTTGAGCTTTTATTTACGCCTATGATTCATTTACCGTAGCTAGTTAAGCAAAAGAAATTAGGCTAGCTTTAACTAGTAACAAACTCTATGTTGAGTCACCATAGCTAGCTTGTAGTCTCTTGTAAAAAACTCTGATGAATCAAATTAGTTGTAACATAACAGTTTTATAATATACTACAACAAAATTATCCCTTTCTCTTTACCTCTATAGAACAATATAGATGAAGAATTCATCATTTCATCCACTTTTTTTAATACTGTATTTTGAGTCTATGATCCATAATCACGTCGACTTTGTCTGAATCTGAACAAACTTTCAACCAAGAACATCTTCTAAACTTTTGCTCAACATATTAGCATCATACTCGATAATTCTAACTTTCTTCTATGGAAGTAATAATTTAAAGAAATCATTAGAAATCACAAGCTTCATCGCCATCTTGCAAATCGTGTAATTCCAACACGTTATCTCACAGTTGAATATAGTGCATTTGACACAAAATCCTGCTTACGCTGCGTGGCAACATGAAGATTCCCTGCTGTTTACCTGACTTCTCACTATGTATGTTTATGTACAAGCACACGAAATATGAACAACCATAAATCAATTTCAAAAAAAACTCAAATCAATGCTAAATCTCGCCGATTGCGCTGTGGATTAAAGTTAATTGCGAATTGAGACAAGTCCATAGCACAATATCTAGGCGGAATTCAACAAATTCTTGAACCGATTGGAGATCTTGTACCTCATCATGATCAACTTGAAGATGTCATTGACGGACTTCATGATGAGCATCAAGCTTTAATTTCAACTATCAAGTATCGCAATGAAGCATGTCCTATATGATAACTGCATAAACGATGATTTTATCTCAGGAAGCTAAGCTTGAACGTCTCCAAACACTACGTTACTTGAACCATTCTACATGAATCTTACTCAAGGTTCTTCTTCTTCACAAATTTCTCAAAAATTACGTAATCTCAAAATTCGTAGCAACAACAATTCAACAACTTCAAGTTTGTGAAAGAACCTTGAGTAAGATTCTGCAATTTCTGCATTGCTTGTTGTTTGAACAAGACTAATTGATGACTTCTCGACAAGTGTATTGATAGTGTCGAAGTAATATAAAAAGATATTGTCTCCATAGAGATTGAAATTTAATAAGGTAAAAATTATGCGAATGAAAAAAAAAAGATAATTGGAGGATTTTTAGATGGTTTTGCGGAAACAAAAATAAATTGGAATTTCAAAAACGAGAAAGCGATTAGTTTTTACTTGAATCTTTGTATTATTCTTTGTTGAAGTTTAATGCATCATATAAATGATAAAGTCGTTATATTTCCACGACGAATTAACAAGGGCACTATGGCACTATATTCAATCTGTTGGTGTATACCTCACTAATTTCTACTAGTGGTCTCTTATCCTTATTCAACAAACGTAAGTGAAATTAGGCAATGTAACGGTACATTAATTCAAATGCCACTACTAGAGGTCTCATATTCATATTCAACCAGTGTAGATACAATAATTGTCCTAGTTCAAACACATAAGTTAAGGGTCGGTATTCCTCATGCGCCCAAGATCAGATTAACAGAGTATCTTAAATAAAAAGTATTAAGCACAAGGTGCAATTAAATAGAAATATAATTTCAATTATTCATATAATATCAAATTAAACATAAGTTCCACCAAGTTCGTCTCATAAAACTTAATCTAGAGTAGATTAGCTACTCATATTACAACAATAAATTACCAAGATAGATGATGAAGTTTGCAATAAAATCCCTTGAAGAGATTAGTCTCCAATGGCTTTCAATGCTCCCAAAATCGCTCCTCTAGTGCTCCTTACCATCACTTTCTGTCTTCAAATCAATATACTTGAGAAACTGCAAAAAAAACCATTTTAAAGGCGACAAATTGGTTTGAAATGCATCAGAAAAGCCTAGAAAAAGGATCCAGCGTGCGTGATGGTTGTGTATATCTTGTGTGATAAAATCACGTGCGTGATGGCTGTGCGATGGTCTGTGTGATAAAGTCACACGCGCGATGGTTTTCTGTTGGCATGTGTGATAAAATCACGCGTGCGATGGATGTGCGATGGTCCGCGTGATTATTCTAGTAACTTTCACGTTTTTGCTCTTTTTCTCATCCAATTTTCACCAAGTCCCTATTTCTCCATACTTAGTGACTTTTGCATCTTTCTTTGACCTTTATACTTCATATTTGCTCATTTGTGACTGATTTCTCGATGAAATATACTTAATGACAAAGTGTCATCATAATCTCAAACTTAATATGTTGCTTGTCCTCAAGTAACTTGCCAGCAACTGCACATTTAAAATAGAAAAACTACAACAATAACAAATGAATATCACTATTTCAATATTTTTGTTACCTGATCATCATTCCAGTTCATGACTTCAATCTAGAAAATTCAGAAAAATCTCCTCAACTTTGTCAAGTACTCAACATATCTCTCATCTCACTATAACTCACTCAATTTAACAGGATAATCTCTCTATCAATATGCAAAACATTTTATACTGAGTTTGATCACATTTTAATAAATTTCATCAAAGTAATCAAAACACACACATTTGAGAACTTTTTCGGTTATAACGGGGCTTATGTCCGTGTATGATATTTTTGGGAAAGTAAGCTTAAACCTTTGAATTTAGATACCTAATTCTCCTTTTCTTATCTCACCAGCTCTTTTCTTGATTATTAGTACTAGAGATTTATACTTTTGTGGACTTCACTATTTATTTTTCATTCATTTTCTTTCTTTTTTGAAGATGTTGTTTTAACTTCTTATTTTCTCAAATAATTTGAATTTTTGACCAAATATCTCTAGTACCCCAATCCCAAACTTAAACTTTGCTCACTTCCAAGAGCATCCCCAAATTTTTTTCATAAGATATGAAAACTAAAAATTCTACCTTACTCTAAATAGAGGGTGGGAAGATTTTATCTTTCAAGTCAAATGGCTAAATATCAAGGATATGTCACTGAAACGAAGGGCTAAGCTCAAAGTGGTTGTAAAAGGATATTCATATTAATATAGGTTGGCTTAAAAAGGCTAAGATTTTATAACAAACAATTGCCCCGATGTATGTAAACCAAACTAGATAAACTTAATTGGAAACAGTTCAAACTCTATAAATAGTAAATGCATGGATACACTCAATGAAAGAAATTATAAACAACAGAAAATTTATGGCTCAAACCTTACCAGTTTAGGTATTTAGAGATTGAGTACAAGTCTGTTGATTACCTTTTTTTTTCCTTCTCATTCAACCCGTAAGGAACCTTTCTGTTGCTCACATTTTTATCTGCTGATTCTTTTATTTCATTTGTTCATTGCTAAAGTTACAAAATTTTAACTGCAAGAAACAACAACCACAAACTCATTCATTAAGTAAAACATTGGCGAAATGATAAAAAAAGAGTTGAGTACTTTAGTTAATATTATTATTGACTTGTAGGAAATGAAAGGAAATTTTGGAAAATAATACAAATTATCAAAACTCAAAATTCAGATGTCATTGGAGCGGAATAAGTTTTGCATGGTGTGTTTAGTCCACTCTGTCCTCGTCTGATTGATGTTGATTCTCAAGAGGCGTGACTTTGTTTTGAACCAATTGTCTGAAACAATAACAACACTAGAAATTGCAAAGAGATTAGTGATAAAAACATTAGGATTAGAGAAAGTTTTCTTCCTTCAATCCATTTCTCAAGTCTTTGTCATACTCTTCCTTAATATGACATGTTACAAAATAAAAAATGACTAATTGAAATAACATGAAATTTAAAATTTCAAATGAAATACAAACTTATTTGATGAGTTGCCTCCCAATAAGCATTTCTTTAGGGTCATAAGCTTGACCTTTTGATTTTTTATTAGGGTGGCATATATGACACGAAAAATAAATCATCCTTCTTCTTTCTTTTGTTTGGTAGGAATTCCATTACTTTGAGGAATTGAATATTTTTGCTTCCATATTCTCTTTAGTTTGATAGTATCGAATAAGGCATAAATATCATCCAATACTTCAAATATTTCTTCTCTTTTAGCAACCTTCTTGTTAGAATTAGGAATATTCTTTTGTTGAAGATATTCTTGTTGGATATCAACGTTTAAATGAGTTATTGAATTTAGAGCTTCATCCAAAATTATATAAT